GACAAAAGCATTTGTTCAACTATGTTCATAGCAGCATTATTTGTAATAGCCAGAACCTGGAAACAACCTAGATGCCCTTTAATGGAAGAATGGATGAAGAAAGTGTGGAATATATACATATTAGAGTACTACTCAGCGGTAAAAAACAATGACTTCGCGAATTTTGCATGCAAATGGATGGAAATAGAAAACACTATCCTGAGTGGGGTATCCCAGTCCCCAAAAGATGAACATGGGATGTACTCACTCATAATTGGTTTCTAGCCATAAATAAAGGACATTGAGCATATAATTTGTGATCCTAGAGAAGCTAAATAAGAAGGTGAAACCAAAGAAAAACATATAGTCATCTGCCTGGATATGGGATGTAGACAAGATTACAGGGCAAAACCTGGGAACTTGGGGATGAGGTGGCATGGGGCTAAGGGGAAATGGGGTGACTTTTCGTCTTGTTGCAGATTGTGGAATTTTCCTCTGACCTATAGATCTGAAATTGCACTAAGTTACGTGGCCAGTTCTATGTGTCACAGGATTATATTGTTAGTCTAGAAGAAAGTATAATACATCTTGTTTGGCAGAAGTTGAAGACAATTATTTTTAATATTGTAATTATAGAAACTACTAGGGTATTTCTCTCTACAACCATTAGCTCATACATGTTTTGTGCATCTTGGTTTATTATACTATTCAAACTATTGTAGGAGGAGGGCCTGCTTATTCACAGCTGCCCCACACAGAAATTGTGTTTATTACAACACTGCTTGACCCATTAGCTCTAACTTCTTATTGGCTAACTCATATTAATTTAACCCATTCCTATTAATCTGTATATAGCCACGGGGCTGTGCCTTGCCAGGTAAAATTTCCAATGTCACTTTCCTGCAGCTCCGTGGCTTTTTCCTAACTCTGCCTCCTTTCTTCCAGAATGACATTTAGGTTTTCCTGCCTACCTAATCAACAGGCCTAGGCAATTTCTTTATTCATTAACCAATGAAAGCAACACATAGACAGCAGGACCTCCCACACTAAACTCTATTTTAAAGGAAAAATAATTAGGGAATTGGAAATTTTTAATCATTTGGGCCTGGAGAGTAGGAATCACATCTCAATGTCTTTTTTAGAGCAGTTAATACAGTTAGTGTGATGTTTATCTATGAGAAGAATAGTATTGTTTTCCATTTCTATAAGCTTAAGGATTTTGTAGAATAAAATAGAATTTTGACATAAAAGAAGTTGATAACATGCTATATAAAGATTATTAGAAATAGGTCCATGCAATCCTCTTATACGTGATGCTTAAAGTTTATTCATCCAATAAGAAAGTAGCTAGGTTAGTATTTCAAAGTACATACTCTATTAGTGTAGTATATGTACCATGTATGTTCCAAGATGGCAGCCATACTTTCTGCCATAGTTTCTCTTTCCAGAAAACCAGAATGTGTGTGGTAACAAAATAAATATTGACAACTTCCTTAAAAGTGTGATCCATATTTGATTTTATTTGATATTACAGAACTGGATAAATAATTTGCAGTCTAAAACTAAAGTAGCCCCATTATTTGAAATTGTGAAGGAATTTAGCAGAAATTTAAAATAAGCAAACAGATAATCGCTCTTAACAAGTCTCAAATTAATGAAGCCATCTCTAGGAAAGTGATTCAAAGCTGAAGCTCACTTGGAAATTGTTTTGTTTTGAATGTGCATGATTTTTTTCTATATGCATATCTGTGCACTGTATTAGTGTGTGGTGCAAACAGAGACAGTATGATGCACTAGAACTGGAAGTATAGAGGATTGAGATCCATCATGAAAATATTAAGAACAACTTCTGAGTCCTCTCTCCAGTTCCAGTTGATGAGTTCTTTCTTGAATACACTAGTTCTAATCACTCAATACTTGCCATAAATTATATGAGGACTTTCTTTAAAATAATTTTGTTAGAAATTTTATCGTAACACCTGAAACCTCTACCCCCATATGACCCCCATTACTCTACATCTCTGAAGTTATTTATATGGTGCTTTAGAGACAGGCTTTTTCAGTGTCCTAGACCCCCTTAAGTCATACAGGCTGACTGGCCAGTTAATTCAAAGACCTGCTTGTTTTCCCAAACTCAATGCACACTACAATTTCTAGTTCTTTAGGTTGGAGTCTTATAATCAAACTCAGGTGATAATGCTTTCAGGGCCAAACTATTTCCATAGCTTTATGTTTATGTTATAAACACCACAGGAATTAGAAACTGATTTTGGCTCAAGAAGTACTGCAATATTGTCCAAGATAGAAGCTGGAATTGCCTTCTCCACAGCTACAAGGTCTTGCAACATGCCACAATTCATGAAGAGAACTCACGCAAGAACTACAGTGGACAAAGACCATCAAGATCCAACCCCCAGAGAGTAGCTTTCTTAAGCTGGATTCAAGCTTGTAAAGATTTAAAAGCTTCCAGAACCAATATCAACAGACAGGGACAAAGTGCTAGAGCACATGAGCCTTCAGGGCATGTTTTACATTCAAATAATCACTTCAGAAAATATGAAGTTAAAATTTATGGAGAAACACAGACTTCAGAAACAGATTAATATTTATGTATCAAGTATGTAGTAGTTATATAACTATATTTCAAATTTCTTTTAGAAATTATTTATGTTCCCATGAATATTTTTAAGGGAAATGGGTAGCATTCTCATACAAAGTCA